TGAAGACACTGGGAGAGCCACTATGCTGTAGCTGTGCCCTTGCTGTAACAACTGTAGATGCACTAAGATTTCATCCCTATTTCTGAGTACATCTTAATAATTATAGCACACAAATGCTGAAAGTCAGAGGATGGCTGGTCTAGCTGTGCAGGCGAATCCTTCATACGCACCGCTCACCGCTGAAAATCCTCCCCGCCCGCGGATTCGCCCCCATTTCTACAGACCACACACCTGTCGGGGCTTCAGTTCTGTTCTCAGTGGACATCAGTCACTTTGTGTTTGGGGCACCTGCGCTTTTGTTTTGTGCTGCAGGCTGTTTCATCAACAAAGCCAGGCCCAGCCAGGAGCTTGGGGCCAGGAGACGAGTGCCATTCATCTGAGGTACAAGGGAAGGCAGTTCCGTGGAAGTGAATACAGCCAAACTTCCCGACACTCTTGAACAGAAGCGCGGCTGTGACGTCCACTGTTTAGAACAGCACTGTGTACTGATGGAAGTGAGATGCAGGTAATGCTGGTGTCTGCGGTGAGGACGCAGACACAAGGTTTCAAGGCGGTCCTGACATTGACACCGGCAACACTTACTTAAGTGACTGACATAAGAGTGATTGATGCCTGCAGTGCTTATCAAAGCACATACGCTAGGATAGGACCCTGCTTTGATTTTGGTGTCAGAGGCCGGCAGCCTGTGGTGCTGGTTATTATTCCTGGGCTATCATAAGAGGTATTTTGTACCTTATTATGCTTCATGGGAATTGAGGAGCATTCTAGATAGGAATCTGTGGTTTGTTCTAAATTTAGCCCAGGGTTTGCACTGAGAATGTTAATTCCTTTTTTTATTATTATTATTTTATTTTAATTTTTTTTGGATTTTTTTCGAGAAAGGGTTTCTCCGTAGCTTTTTGGTTCCTGTCCTGGAACTAGCTGGAACTAGACCAGGCTGGCCTCAAACTCACAAAGATCCGCCTGCCTCTGCCTCCCGAGTGCTGGGATTAAGGGCTCACGCCACCACCGCCCGGCTAGAATGTTAATTCTTTGAGTTGATGTAGAACAGTTGATGTAAAAAGGTTTGTAGGGCTAGTGAGATGGCTCAGCGGGTAAAGCGTTTGCCCCACAAGTGTGAGGACAAGAGTCTGATCCCTGGCGTCCACGTAAAAACTGAGCAAGCACAACATCCTATCTATAGTCACGGTGCTTGGGGACAGAGACAGGGGATACTGGCAAATCAAACGGAAAACAACCAAGGAAGACATCTGGCATCAAGCTCTGGCTTCCACGCACACAACTGCAAACACATGCGTGCACATGTATGCACATTGCACACAGGCCCATGTAAAGGGAAGGATGTTGATAGCATCAATTTGAAGACACATTTCAAAACAAAAAGAACAGATGGTTCCACAGAGAAGGCTGTAACTCAGAAGGTGAGCCTGAAAATGCTACCAAACTAAACAGCAAGAAAATGTCAGAACGTGCAAGACAGATAGAGGATCCAACACAGGAAGCCTCATCTGCCCAAGATGGGGTAACGTGAGCATCAATAGGACGTGACCAAAAATAGCCACGAAGCTCTGAAACATACGCAGTTTGCCAAAATTAAGGAGACCAAAGGATGCAACTCACTGGACACCGTTAGAAGATTTTGAGGACCAATCCACTCCTTGGGAAAGGAAGAGGTAAGCATGCAGCCTTCCATCCCTAGACTACTATATGTAAGGGCAACCAAAAGCTGGTAAGAAAACTTAGCATCTATATAAATATCCCAGGAATAAATGTAGCCATAAGGATGAAATGAGAATAACTCGTCTGCAACTCTTGATGAACTAATCCACCCAGACAATGGTTGCCAGTCGCACCATCATTCCCAGAGAGACAGGCAGGAGAGCAGATATCTCTGATGGAAATGTACTGAGCCACTTAAGAAGTAGGCTTGCCAAAAATATCAAGCCTGAACTCAACTAAAGTCTAGTTCTAGCTACTGAAAGGGAATACAAAGACAGCCGATCATGTTCATGGGTTCTTAGAAATCAATAAGCTATGTTCAACCTTCTGACATCGCGACAGGAAGTTATCATCTTCAGAGAATGGGGCAAACAAGTGACAAAAAAATCACACACACAGCTCATAATATTTTAACTTTAGAAGTTTTCCATTAGAGACATTCATAGTTCTCCTTTGACCACAGGAAGCCCACGTGCTACAGGTCAGACAACTTTGCTTAAATAAAAACTGCTTAAGAGTCTTCATCCTCAGAGATGCTTAGAAAAGCAACAGAAGACAAACTTATGGAGAACTCAAAGAGATTGTCTTCACAATATCTAAACACCAGGAGACACCAATTGGGGTATGGGAAACACCACTTTGCTGTTTGATACTAGCTAGATATCTTAGCTCCTTTTCCCATTGCTGTGATGAAATACCTTAGGGCAAAGACTCATGGGAAGAAAAGGGTTAATTTCACTCTCAGTTCAGGGTTGCAGCCTACCATGGCAGGGAGGTCACAGCAGCTGGAGTAAAAAAGAGCAGGTCATGTCACTTACATCCAGTCAGGTGCAGGTGAATTAATGCACTCGATGAACCAATGCAGGCAAGTACTCAACTTATTCTTTCCATTTGACACAATTGGGATCCCCACACGGGGCATAGTCCTGCCCAAATTAACACAGTCTTCTCCCATTAATTGAGGTAATCAAGACAGTCCCTCACAGACGTTCTCTGAGGCTAACCTTCATCTAGACTATCCCTCACAGGTGTGCCTGGATGCGTGCCTCCCGGGTGTGCAACTGGCAATGCTTAATACCACCATAGGTAACTGTGTCTAATCATTTCTTCTTAGAGTAATGATATCAAAGTCATATTTTGGATACCCCCACTTTCCCGATTTGCTCATCCCCAGCCGTTGGATTGCAACTCTGATTATTTGAGTCTGAGTCAAATGAGTATCTCTATCACTATCCACTCATCCATGCCCCGAGGACAGCACCTGTGATCCCAGAGTTGCATCAATACGTTTATGCTTCTATATCTGAGAGATGCTATAAGATGCAGCCAGGTTAGTATTCCAGGGAGAGGACAAGGTAGAGCAGAGAAACCTCAAGATTGATCACAAGCCAGCAATTTAAAGGGTCTATATGATACATGGACAGAGATTTATCAACCTATTTTTCCTATTTTAATATGCTTGAAATTTTCTCTATTAATCTCTTGACCTGTAGGAGCTAGAGAGATGGCTTAGCAGTTAAGAGCACTGGCTGCTCTTCCAAAGGACTCAGATACAATCTCCAGCACCCATGTGGCAGCTCACAACTATCTATAACTCTGATCCTGGAGGATCTAAGGCAAAACGCTGACAGTGGAGCTGGGATACCATAATACATTCCTTAGGGAAGCCAGTCTGGTTTGGGATGGAAACCCCTTGCCTATTTGGCTGTACACGAGAACCATGATGACTCAGAAGCCACAGCATCCAAGTTCAGGATCTCTAACAAGCACGGTCATGTAGAACGCTAATCTCTCCCCTGCTAAAATGATCATCACTGGGAGACTGAGCGCTGGGAGATGCACTGTGGGGGGCAACACATCTGTCCACCCTTAGATGGCTCCAGTATCTCATCTCATTGGCCCCCAGCAGGCAGCTGTGCTTTCTCAGGCCTCACAAGCCTTGATCTGGATCTTCCACCCTGGGGACCATGTACGCAATGTCTTCAGCGTGCTGCTAAGTGGATGGCAAAAATATTTGCTCAGCCATTAACACAGAGGGCTGGAGAGATGACTGAGTCAGTCAAGTTCTTGCTCTGCAAGCATTCAGACCTGAGTTTCATCCCCAGAACCCAGGCGAAGAAATGTCAGGCCTGTAACTGTAGCTTTGGGGAGGCAAAGGAGAGTGGATCCCTGGAGTTTTCTGGACAGCCAGCCTAACCTCTTTGGAAACGTCCAAGTCAATGAGAGATTCTGATTCAAAAAGCAAGGTACCTGGAGCCACAAGAGCAACATCTAGGGTGTGTCCTCTGACACCAACATGCACACATGATGTGCACCCATATACACACATGTATACACACTTATAAAATCCTAAACACACGTAATCATAACCTTAACCCAGCTGTGAAGACCTGCAGCGAGATAAAGGGAGGCTGGCCGAGTGGTGGATGACTTCTTCCCCATCCCAAATGTCCCTTCAAAGAGCGACAAGAAGGCAAGAATAAGCATGTCTTAGTGGTTCAGGAGTGGTTCACAAGAAGGCATTCTCTGTTCCTTTTAGTTCCAAAGTGGGGAGGTTGGGGGTTAGGGGTGGGGGTGGGGGCAGGGACAGAGTCATCTAAAAGGTGTTTGCTAAAGAAGGAGAGGAGAGAAGAAAGTAAAGGGGTGGGGAGAGAAAGGAAGAAAGAAAGCAGGGAAAGAGAGGGAAGGGAATGCTAAGTCTAAAACTGAAATACTGCATTATTGCTCAAGACCTTGTGTGAATGACTAGCATTTCTAAGGCTGCCTTAGAAAACACATCTACAGACACGGCTCAGTGGTGGAGCACTGTCTTGGCGAGAGAAAGACTCCCAGTTTGATCCCAAGCCTACATGGGTGGAAGCGAGGGGGAATAAGAATAACAAGAATAGCAGAACCCAATTCAAGAAAGACTCAAAAGTCAAAGAAAAAAAGCCAGTAACTTTTATAACCAAGGTGACTGAGGGGACACTATTCATCTATAGTAAAGAACAATGGTTCAAGCACCTCAGAGTAACTAAAAATGATAGGTGTTTAATAACACCTAACATCATATCATACTATATAATATTATATGCGATAATATTAAATGCTATACATAATAGCATATTATATAAAATAATAGATTAGATGCTAAATATTATATATTGAATATATTACATATGATAGCATGTAATATATGATAATATGCATGCATAATTTTAAGAAGGAGAATAAAGCACAGAAGTCATAAAGAATTACTCTGCCCAATTTAACAGTTTATTACTAGTAATGAGTGGCATTACCTCCGAGTAATTTGGTGAGAGGTATTTCCCGTTGCACTTAGCCACATGTCTTAGGATCTTCAAAGCTTTTTCCCCTTGCTTCCGGGTGATCAGCCAGCGGGGAGATTCAGGAACTACCCTGGTAAGGGGGGAGACGTTTGAATTAGGTCAGAAATCTGAAAACCCAAAAGCTCATGAGTCTTTCTAGCCAACAGGATCTTGCAGCAATCAGCTTACAAGTCAGGACACTTCTCAGAATTGAAGACAGGCTCTCAGAAGTGGATTTTCTTTGCAAATTTACAATGAATGGGAAACAGGCTAACTTGGCTATAACCCCCCCTCAAAAAAACCCCAAAAATATTTCTCCACAGTTCAGGGAACCCTACAGTACTATGTCTCTGGTTACAAATATGAAAAGGATTAGGGCTTAGTATGTATCTAGGAGAAGACAAAATCTTCCCTTCTTCATGGAGCCTGATTTACCCATACATTAAAATTCAATGAGGGGAATAAATTACATTTGCCCCAGTATGAGTCAAGTGCATACATCTGGAACATCTTGACAATCTATTTCTCTGACATTCTCAACCTCTTATTCATCAGAGAATGTTAATTTGCTTACTGGATTTTTTTATCATATTTAATCTTCATGGCGAAATATCGAGTTTGTTACTCCATAATTCTCATGAAAGTATTGCAAAGGGATAAATCATAATGCAATCACCTAGTCTGGAATTTTGTATTGGGGTATTTTACTATTTGCAATGGCCACTCTTAGTCAAGCAACCAATAATCCCTACAAGTTGTCAAAATTGTCTACTAACTCCCTAACCACGGCAATCTGGAGAGTTAGGAAATCTTCATTTCAGAACTCATTTCTGCATTGGCTTGGCATCTGTTCATGTGCAATAGGATCAATGCAATGATGACCAAAATCATATTACCAGTAATAAAGGAGGAAGAGGAAGCTGGGCAGTGAGATGGCGAGCTGGATGCCCTGCCAGCTGGGCGTAAAGTAGGCAATCCCAGGGAGGAGGATTATTCCAAGCGTGAAGAACATCTGGATCACGATTCCCACAATCCTCCTTTGTTTTGAACCTACTATCTCTGTCACTGGAGGAAAAACAGACACAGACGATTAGGGGAATTCTCAGTCAACTCCAAAACAAACAGACTCGACACCTGTTAAAAATCTTCCGGCATTGTTGGACTACTCCAGAGCCCAAGGACATGGGGGCTTCCATATGTGCTGAACTTCTGAAGATGGCTCTCCGGGTACCCAATGTGTGTTTTTCCCAGTTTTTTTTTTTTTTTCTGCCCTAATTCTTGGGCTTCCAAGCCAGCACCCTCTGAGTGTGGCTGAGGAGGGCATGGAACACCTATGCTGGTTTTAGGTCATCTCACTCTAGCTGTCGAGAAGGTCATTGCCATTATCAAACCAAACACAGCAAGCTAGCTCACCCGTATCACTGTAACACTAAGGATATGTAAATTATAGTCCCTCTTGGAGAATTACCATGGACATCAGACTCTGCCCGTACTTTCCACCGCCCCAAGACAGTTTAGATTATGCATGTTGTTTGACTTTTCATGTATGCAACAGATCTCTAAAATCCACCTGGGAAATGTGTTGCTGGAAACCCGACCTCCTCTGCACTTTCCCACTAAGTGGTTTTTTGTTCTCATCATCCTGCTGGCTGCCTTGCGGCTGCCCTAAGTTCACAGTTTTGAACATCCACATAGATTTGGGTCGTGTTAAAAATGCCACACACTTCAGTCATCCCTCTGTTCCAGCCAGTAACTCTCAGTCTCTACTTGTGCCCACTCTCCTTTTCCCACCATAAAAAGAGCTGCAGGTATCTAAAGCGCCCCTGCTAGGGTCTCCCACAGTAGTCGTGGACGGGATTGGAAATCCGAGCATCTGAGACAAGACTGTCAGATGAGCTTTCTAATTTCCTTGCTCATAAATCCTCCACCACTTAAAGCAGGTGGCTGGTTTGCGCTAGAATCAGAGCCAAAGGGAGCAGCCTGGACCAAACATAAGCAAGGGACAGAGTTTCATATTCTCTATCTGGTTCCCATTTTAAAACAGCCCCCAGTCTCTGCAGCAGCTGGAATCCCAGCCCAAGTCCTCCACCTGCTTGAGCACGTGTTGCAATGAGGTCTCAGGGATTTCGTTGTGGGAATGCTGAGCTAGACTCCCGCCCCCTCCGAGCCCCGCCCCCTCAAGTTCTCACACAGAGGAGTGGTTGCAACAAAAACAATTCTTACCAATCACGAAGCAGGTCATCCACGCCCCCTTTCCAAACACGCCTTGCAGGAAGCGGAAGATGACAAACACAGAAAAATTTGGCGCAAATGCCACCACGACCCCTGTGACGCCAACACCGAAACAGGATATTAAGTAAATAAGTATCCTGCCATACCTTCATGAGAAAGAGAAGAGAAGAGAAGACGTGGTCTTCAACACAATGGAAATAGAATGAGACAGGATGCAAAAACAAACAAACAAACAAATCAGCATCCTCTGTAGCCCACCATCGCAGTAAACAGTGTTGATAATATATCTAGGAAACCAGAGGGAAACAATTGGAACTCATCTCTGCAGGGACATTACGAAATCAACAGCCCACAGCACATTCTTTGAGACCGAATAATTCCCAGTGGGGACCCTCTCTGCAATGCTGTTCTTGCAGTTTCCCTGCTGGCCTGGTCCTGACATTTGCTCTCATTTCTGTGGGTGGAATCTCAGGGAGGTGGGGGCAGAATGAAGCAGCCATGTACGTTACAGAAGTCTCCACTTCAATCTTGCCTCATCCAGGTACCAGTCCAGGAACTTGGGCAAACTCCTCAGTGCTCCAAGACTCAGGTTTTGTTTGTTCCCCAGTCACCCCTTTTTTTGCTAGTGATGGGTAAAGAGGAGAAAATGGGGTTGTAATGTGAAAACTATAAAGTTCAATCAATGTGTGTTGTTATTGTTGTGTGTGTGTGTGTGTGTGTGTGTGTGTGTGTGTGTGTGTGTGTGTTTCATAGAACTATAGCCAAATAGCTCAGACAAAGGGACAGGGTGCTGTGGCCAGTTCCCCAGTCTGTTGTGAGCTGATTCCCACGGTGTGCCAGGTGACTGGCTGACAGGAGCTCATCCTCAATAACCTATAGGAGCTTTCCTCCTGTGGTATTTTCCTTATAAATCTTTAGAACATTCTTACTTCTGTGTCTTTGCATTAAGGGCCAGGCCAGGAAGGAAACAGCCTTAATGTAGCCACATGTTTCAAAAGTCAACTCCATTTTTTAAAACAGCTTTAGGTTCAAACAGAATTTAAGCAGAAAAGACAGGGTTCCCATGCACCCCTCCTTTCACACATGCACACTTGCCCTATCACCCACCCCCCATTGAGTGAGCCGTGTGCCACAATAAGTAAGCTTAAGGTGACATATTGTTGCACAAGTCTAGTTTACACTAGGCTTTCGAGTTCCATTCTCCAGTGCCAGGGATCAAACCCAACCCAGGACTTTGGACAAGCAAGGTCAAAGCTCTGCCACTGAGCTACACCCACCCAAGGTTCACTGCTGTGTTGGACAGTCTGTGGGACACGCTCACATTTCCACATCACACAGAAGAGTTTCACGTCCTTAATTCCTTGCTGGTAGGAACACAAAATGATGTGACCCATTATTAGTTCTTAGTGGTCACTCTGCATCCCAGGCAACCACAGACTTTTCTATAGGAATCGTACTGTTTGAAATCTTTTCAGACTGGCTTCTTGAATGCAGCAATGTGGGCTTTAGTTTCCTCTATATCTTTTTTAGGGTTCCTAGCTTGTTTCCTTCAGGTGTGGAGTAATATTCTACTGTCTGGACAATGGGTCATCTATCCATTCACCTACTGAAAAACATCTTAGCTGCCCCCAAATGCTGGCAATTATGCGTAAATCTGTTGTACAGTCCCCATGAGAGTTTACATGTGGATGTAGATTTTCAGCCTTATTGGGTAAATACCAATACTGTAACCTCTGGTCCTGTGCATTTCGGTTTGCAAGAAACTGACAAGCTGGCTTCCCCTCTGCTGCGCCATTATGTGTCCTACCAGCAAGGAGCAACCGTTTCTGTGGTTCCACACACTTGCTAATGTATTATCCCCAATTTATTTAGTTTGAAAATTGCTACATGTGTGGGTGTTTTACCTGCAGGTATCTCTGCAGCATGTGTGTGCAGTGCCTGCAGAGGCTAGACGAGGGCATCCTATCCCCTAGAACTGGAATTACAGCTGATTGTGAGCTGCCATGTGGGTGCTGGGAATTGAACCTGAGTCCTCTGGGAGAGCCACCTCTCCAGCCCTTATTCTGTGTTTTGGCATCTGTGTTCATGAAAGCTGAAGGCAACAAGGTTTTATTTCTTCTAATATGTCCTTCTGGTTTAGGCAGTAAGGCAGTACTGACGTCACAGAACAAGTTAGGGAGTATTTCTTCACCCTTATCTTCTCTTAGAAATGGAGACAACTGTGTATGATTTATTATCTACACAGTAGAATTTACCTGCCCCAAATCTGAACCTGGTACTTCCTGCTTAGTAAGGTTATTCAATATTGACTCAATTTATTTAATATACATAGGCGTATTAAAAGAATTCACTTCTTATGTGAGTTCAGGTGGGTTATGTATTTCAAAGAACAGGTCCACTCAATCTTGGTTGTCAAATCTGAGGCCACAGAGTCATTTAAATTGTTTCTTTATCATGTTTTTAAAGTCTTTGGGATATTAAACCATCATTAATTTGAGTCCTATCTCTTTTCCTTAGTTGGTTTATCTAAAAGGTTATTAGATTTCAGGGCTTTCCAAAATTCAGCTTTTGAAGATATTAATTTTCTCTATTGACTTATTGTTTCCAATTTCTTTGATTTTTTATTCTAATTTGTATGATTAACTTTCTTCTGTTTATTTAGTATTTAATTTGGTCATTTTTGTTGCTGTTGATACCTAGTGCATAAATTCAGAGCGTGGGTTTTAGATAAATCTTATGTTCTAGTAAGAATCTCAATGCAGTAACCTCCCTTCTGCATTGTTTTTGCTGTGCCCATAAATCAGATACATTGCTTTTTTCTTCACTGTGTGCAAAGTATTTTAAATTTCTCTTGGGATTTCTTCTCTGTTAGCAGAAGTACAATGCTTAATTTCCAAGTATTTGGGAATTTCCAGTTTTTTGTTACAGATTTATTGTTTTGTTTCTTGGAAACCAAAGATTAAATGTGGTATGACTTTCTAGTCCTTTAATTTTGTTAAAAATGTATTTTATGGCCCAGAAAATAACTTTATTAATGTCTCACATGTATTTAAGAAAAACTTGTATTTTGTTGTTGTTGGATGATGTGGTCTGTAGGTGTCCACTATATCCAGCTGACTGGTGGCATTGCTGAATTCAGTTACATCTTGATTATAATATTCTGTTGGCTGGATTTTTACATTTTGGATACAAAGTATTTGAGTCTTCAACTCCAATGAGGAATTCATCTGTTTATCCTGTGGTTCCATCAGTTTTTCCATCCTGTATTTTGATACTCTGTTGCTAGGTACATATATGTTAAAGATTGTTGTGTCTTGTTGAATAATTATAACTAACCCCATGTTTCCATTATGAAGCTTATCCTTCCTAATATCAATATAATGAGTCCTATTTTGTTTTGGTTATTCTTGGTGTGGCATGTTTCTCCACTCATTTACCCTCCACTGCATGCATCTTTACAGATAAAGTGAGTTACTTATCGGCAACTAATTGCTGGGTCTTCTTCTGATCCACTCTGAAAACTTGTGTTTTGTTGTGACTGGGTCTTGGGGTGGGTATAAGCTCAAGTTAATAGAGTGCTTGTCTGGATTGCATGGGGCCCTACATTGGACATGGTGGTATTGTGTCTATGACCTAGCATTTGGTAGGTAGACATAGGACAATCAGAAATTCAAAGTCATCCTTGACTAAGTAGCAATCAAGGCTAACCTGGACTATACGAGACACTGTAGCAGGGGTCGGGGAACCTTTGCTGAAGCTAGAGTCTTCTGCCAGTTTGTCTAGGCTGGCCGGTCAGCAAGCGTCGGTAACCCTTTTGTCTCTGTCCCTGCCCTCCTGCACTGGAGTTACAGGTGTGCACCCCATGCTCAGCTTGGATGTGGGAGTTGGGGACTCCCCCACTTGAGGCATCTCCCTAGCCCCCAAGTCTGGTCTTTTAATAAACCCATTGACAGCATTCTTCACTTCACAGTGTTTGATCTTGGGCATTTCTCTTTGAGTCCTAGAATTTCCACCACTGTTTGCGATGCCCACCAACCCCCAAACACGCTGTATTATATCCATTAACCTCTTACCATATTAACCACAGTTTTAAATTTATCTGGCTTGACAGCTCCAACAGCCATGCCCATATCTGGTTCTGATGTGTGCAGCCCCTGATTGAGCTCTGCGTTTGTCTGCTGGCATTTTATGGCCCTCTTTGCTTGGCATTTTAGGATGCCCTGTGAGAAAACTTTAAATTGTTTCTTTAGCCCGTGGACAACGACACTGCAGACATTCCTTTTTTTTTTTTTTTTTTTTCTTTTTCACTTTAACTGGGACATGGTGATTAGACCTAGACTAGATGGTGAGGAGAGCAGGCTGGGCTTTTGTATTTCGCTCCTCCCACATGGAGGGCTAGTGCTGACTTAAGACAGGAATTTCTCATCCCTCAGGTCTGACATTCAATAAACCTGCAGATTAGGTTCTAATTAACCAGATGTGGATTTTTCATTTTCTGTTTTGTTTTGTTTTTGGCTTTTGGTGTGTGTGTGGGGGGGGTACGTGTGTGCGCGCACATGTGTTTTCTGGGAGCAGGCCTTATTATGAACAGAAGCATGGGGAAATTTTTCTTGATAGTCACCATGAAAACCTGGTACACTTACAAGAGGTAAAAGTCACAAACATGGGCTGGAGAGGTGGCTATCGTGTAAGAGTCCTCACTGTCCTTCCAGGACCTGGGCTCGCTCCCTAGCATCATTGTCCTTCCAGGACCTGGGCTCAATCCCCAGCACTTACACCAGGGTTCACAATGTCTGTGATTCCAGTTCCAGGGCATCTGGTGACTAGGTCTCCCTGGAATTTGCTTTTTCCCACCCCCGCTCACCCTCCCTCTCCCCTCACTCCTCCTTTTTCCTCCCTTTCCTCTGCAACTGCCCTACCCTTAGCCACCTCCCAGGGTTTTTCACTCTCAGAGCGGTTCACACACTAAGCCTCTAACACTCCAGAAATTCCGGTCAGGTTTTCATTACCCAGCAGCCTCTGCTCCAGTAAGTGCCGGTTCCTTGTATCCGCTTAGCTTTCCAATTTGGGGAGCAGCTGCTTGCCCTGTGACCTCACAGCTGGGCAGCTTTGCTGACTTAGCAGCTTGCTCAACCTCATCCTTGTCCTGCCCCAGTGGAGATGAGAAGCTTTTCACTTGGAAGTCCCTGTCTAGAGTCTTAGCTCGCTCGGTCCTCACCACTCTCTTCTCACAGGCATGCCTATTAAAATACCTCTCATCTTGTCTTTAAGGACTATAAATCACAGACACACAGACACACACGGGGTGGAGGTGGGGGGCACATAACGGTGGTCGGTGCTGGTAGTCCTAAGCCGAGTTATTTTAGGAGATATGTTTATTGATCATGAAGGATGAAATACATAAGCAAGACCCAAGTATAAAAAGATTAAGTTACAGTAGCCAGAGCTGCATTGCGATTCCAGCACTCAGGAGACAGGCAGGAGGATTGGGAGTTTGAGTCTCATCCAGTACACATAGTGAGACCCTGTCCAAAACCAAGAAGACAAAACCAGAAAGAGAAACCAACATAAGCAAAAATGAGAAAAAGGCAATCCAGTTCCAACCAATAGCCAATGAGGGAAGAAATGAAATGTACATGAAAATCCCTAAATAATGCTGAGAAAAATTCTTTTCAAAGTTTCAATACAAATTTGTAGAATAAAATACAAAAATTAAAAAAAAAAAAACAGAATGGCTGGCCTCATGAGTAAATTAACCAAACCCCAATCGCTGGACTATTCTGAGCACTGAATCTACCCCTCGCCTGAGCCTTGACGTCACTGCTCTGGGGCAGTGTTTTTCCCTGGGATCCATTCTCAGCCTCAAGGGCATCTTTTCTACCAAGGAACAAGGAGAGGAAGTTTGGAAAGGGAAGAACTAGTCAAACTGAACAAGTGTGGATGTCCTGGGTAGTGGGATAAAAAATGAATGTAGTTGATAAACAAGCATTCCCCCCACCACCACCACATAGGTAGTGTGTTAATAGTAAAGCAACCGGTAGCTTACCCATACCTACCTATCCGCTGCATAGCCCAAGGTGAACGCCCCAGCCAGGAAGCCAAGGTTCAGGATGGCTTGGGTGAGGTCCAACATCCAGGCATTGGCACAGACAAGGTCAAACTGGGGAATCAAAGAAAAACGCATGAAGATACCTGGAGATGTTCGCCTTCAAAACACTCTCTAATATAGGTCAACCATCTTCATGGAGTTGCTTAGATATGTCCCATGTGAAATTTGAGGATGCATCGTATGCATGCATAGACATTGATCTGTGCATATTTTCATTGTTGGCTGAAATGACGGCAAGGGAGTGAACCCCTGGGATACGATGGATACTGACATTTTAAAACAATGCTGTTAGTTAAGTCCATTATGTCACCCATGGCGTGTGGATGCTATGGTGACGGCCTGCCTTCATCCGACATCGTGAGCTCTGTGATCTGACTTGCAGTGAGCTATGCAGAAACTGACACTTCATTCTTAGAATCTTTCTGTGACTACCTAACCCTAACATGTTAGAGGACTTTGTCATTAATTCAAGTCCTCGAAGGTATGATTCCGATTTTATTGTCATGTGTGGGATTATCAGAACAATGGAGTTAGACTCGTGGCAGACACATCTAGAGAAATGTGCAAAGAAACTCTGAAAGCAGACAGACTGCTACCAGAAAAAAATCCAACGTTTTGCTTTAGAAAAGTGACAAGCAGCCTCAAATATAAAAACCCGCAAGGCAGGATTTGCTTCAAACCGCTGAGCTTTATAAATAACTGGGTTAGGGAGACAGAGACAGGCGCATGGCTCCTGCCAGGAGTGACCCTCTTAATGAGATTCCATAGCTTCCATGTTGTGTGAGTTTAATGCCCCAAACTGTCTTCAAACGCATGTAATTTCTTTTATATCAAACTGGTTCTCCTCTTTGCTCCTCCATAGGAGCAACAATCAGAAAGTATTTTCACACCCCACATTTATATAAGATTAAGGAAAATAGATATCCATCAGTATGTTCTAAAATACTTGGAGAGCTGTCTGAGCCAGACAGTGCCTGCTCTTCTGAGCTTTCTGCATGCCAGGTGCCAAAGACAGAGGTTGCATTTCTCAGGCTCCTTTGCCAGTGTGGAGCTGCTTGGCTTTAGGGAGCTGGTGCAAGATCAAAGGGAAAGACTCTGCTTCTGGTCTTGATACAGCTCCTGCTCCCATTATGGCTGCCACAGCGGTGGCTGGTGGCACCTGTCATTCCCTGCTTGCAGCCCTGACCTAGCCACACGTGGACAAAGGGATCTGACCCCACTGGTACAGGCACAGGGATGTCAAAGTTGGGTAGACTGGGCAGGGCTGACTACCAAGACTGCAGAGCCTATGTTTCTTTTTTATTTTTCTAGCCCTTCCAAATTAGCTCAGTGCCATCCTTTTGCTAATTCCATCCCTGCCTAACATATCTAGCCTGGTTTTTATTTTTCTGACTGGCACCATGCTGGCTTGCAACAGTACAAAGTAAGCGTCAACAATGTGTGTATTTAAACAAATGCACAGGTGTTCTTCCGTGTCTGTTACATCACAGACCCTCTAACCGCCCCTCTCTTGCCCAGAATCAGGTTATGCTCCTCAGTCCTTGGACAGTTGACAAAGAAGCCTGCTGCACTGTGGCCCTACAGTTTCTTCTCTCTTGTTCACAGTGGCCAGGAGGCCCAGCTGCCCATGGTAGCCCAGTCTGAGAACTTTCCTTTGTAGCTTTAGTCTCTTGTCTACAGCCTTCCTCCATGTCAGAGGCCACATAGACTATGTCACAAGGAACCTCCCTCTTTTTTCCTCTGAGGAACTACAAGAGTAAGAAACTCCCATTGTCTTTAGGATCTGAAGGTTGTTCCTGCAGGACCCCATCATGCCAACTGCAATATGACACTTGCTCTCTGTCACGGCTAATCCTGGTTGTCAACTTGACTGTGTCTGGAATGAACTAAAACCCAAGTGACTAGGTTCACCTGTAAGGGAGCTTTCTTGATTCAATCATTTGAGTGGAAAGACTTACCCTGAATCCAGATATTTGAGGTGGAAAGAGTCACCTTAAATCTGGCCCACACCTTCTGGTGGCAGCCTATCTAAAGGACATGGAGGAAGCTCTTGCTCTTTGCTTGCTTGCCCTTGCTCTCACTAGCAAGTCCATTACTTCACTGGAGTTACCCTATGTCTTCAGGGTTCCATTGTATACTGCAGACAAGCTGAGACATCCAGAACTACTGGATTCTTGGACTTTCCATCGAGAGACAACCATTGCTGGAATAGTTGGACCACAGTATTATAAGCCTCTCTAATAAATCCCGTACATTGGCATGTGTGTGTGTGCGCGCGCGCACACGTGTGTATGTTATATTCAGTCTATTGCTTCTGCCCCTCTAGAGAACCCCGACTAACACACTCTTCAAATGCTCTCCCACAGGGACTCATCATGGCTCCTCAGGAGACCTACACCTGATACTGATCAGTAGGTCACCTTAGATCACCAAGTTTACCAAAGTCTTCATCAGAGACACAAAAATGTAGGTCTCTCTCTCTCTTAAAGCAACCTATTCAGAGCAAGTGAGCCACATCCAATTTGATTTTCCAGGGTGTGCCTACCAGAAGCATTTAAATATCCTTAATACCCATAAACCTATGTGGCCACCTTGTTACTTATTAATCTTCAAAGTCACTTTACACAAACAGAGTAATTCTCCTTGGCACAGGCAGAAAGTCAATCTGATAACAGACTAAGGCAGCCCTTCCTGGAAGGCTGAAAGGATTCCATGTGCCTTGTTCTGCAGAGAGCACGGGCAACTCTAGGGAAATCAGGTATTTCCAAAGGGTTTTCCAGCTGAGGCCTTTTCCTTAGAGCTTCCCAGCTCTTAAAATATGAATAGATGCTATGTTGGATGCTATGTTAGAGCCTATGTTAGATGCTATGTTAGAGCCTATGTTAGACCCTATGTTAGATGCTATGTTAGACGCTATATTAGATACTATGTTAGAGCCTATGTTAGATGCTATGTTAGAGCCTATGTTAGATGCTATGTTAGAGCCTATGTTAGACCCTATGTTAGATGCTATGTTTGACACTGTGTTAGACCCTATGTTAGATGTTAACTTAGACCCTATGTTAGATGCTATGTTGGACACTATGTTAGATACCACGTTGCTTTGAGTTTAATGACAAAATGCACAAGTTTTTAGTGTATTGGAAGGTCACAAATCTTCAAATTTTCTAAAATCCAAGCCACAAAAGTTCTCAGGCATACAAAGGTCCAAGGTGAGAAGTAAAGGTTAAAAACAACACAAGTCCTCATAAAGCCATGAGAAACAGCCGATTCGTCTGCTGCATCTGAAGAGAGAAGGTGAGGTCTCTGAAGTCCAGCCCCAGAGGCTAAGAACCTCTATTTTATCCTTCAGACTTGGTTCCAGCATGGCGGCAGAACCTCTGAGAGCAGTGTCTGCTGGGAGACAGATGGGAGATGGGGCACAGCTTGGAGGAGGCACGATCCCCAGTTCCCATAAATGGGATAAAAGGGAATAAGCCATAAAAAGGAATAAGCTGACCTCTAGATTCCTCTGACTTCCTTTCTTACCATTTGGTTCCCCCATATCTTTGTGATACTGTCTCCATGAGGTCCTTAAGAGACGCCAAACAGATGGGGACTTTCAACTTCTACATCTGTGGGCTACATAACCTCTTTTCTTCATAAGCACCAGGTTTCAGAAATTTTGTTCTAGTAACAACAACAAAGGGTAAGAACACATTATGATGTGGGATTCCCCTCTGTATGCTGTGAATACTATTGGTTAATAAAGGAATTGCCTTGGCCTGTTGATAGGGCAGAACTTTGGTAGGCGGGGAAAACTAAACTGAATGCTGGGAAAAAAGAGGAAAAGTCAAAGAGAAGCCATGTAGCCTCTGCCAGAGACAGATGCTGACTGGCATGTTACCTGGTAAGCTACAGCCAAGTGACGATGCACAGATTAATGGAGATGGATTAAATTTATATGTAAGAGTTAGCCAATAAGAAGCTAGAGCTAATGGGTCAAGCAATGATTTAATTAATAGAGTTTCTGTGTGATTATTTCAGGGCTAAGCGGCCGGAAACTAATTAGCGTCCTCCTCCAACTACAACATTATAAATGAAACCATTCCAAATCAGTGCTGAGCCTGAAGGCAGGAACTGCAAAACTCTTCACTGTCAGGTGTGGCATGCCCCTGCTATGTGTGGTGCAGACCAAAGCAATCACACACCAGTTTCCATTTTAAATCAACAGTAGGACACAAAACAGAGCCCTCCAATGATGAGACTATAATAATGAAGGAAACAATTTGCATTGGAACGCCAATTCTTATGGTCATAATAAACACATTTTTAAAAAATGGGTAGCCCAGGTTGACCTCAAACTCTTGATCCTCCTGCCTCCACCTCCTTTAGCAAATCCTACTGGTGTATACTACCACAAGTGGCCAACACAGTTTTGGGTGTTTTGTTTTGTGTTGTTTTTTTTTCAAGATGGGGTTTCTCTGTTGCCCTGGCTGACCTGCAACTCACTCTGTAGACCAGGCTGGCCTCAAACTCAGAGATCTGCCTACCTCTGCCTCCCACACACTGGGATTAAAGGTGTGTGCCATCACCACCCAGCAATAAACACATTTTTAATAAGATCTGGTGATACTGTTAGGAGATCATTTAATAATAGAAAGTTAACGCTTTCCTTATATAAGCTATGAACCATTATGACAAGCTGCAGGTATAAAAATGAGTCACAGGTATTTCTAGCTAACTTGGCAACCTTGGTGCTAAGCATCCGAGGCCAGGGAAGAACATCACTGATGTTTAGATCTACTTTCTGTCTTTGTGAGTGGCTTGTGAAACAGTTGAAAAGCCAAGGTCAATTTATGGGAAGCAAAAATAGACCAACTGAGATCTAAATGGAATATCTAAATGTGAGAGATTCAAAGAAAGAAACAAATGGCAGGAGCAGGAGTCACTTACGCCAAGGTGGATTTAGACTAAACGGCACAGAGGGGCACTTGCGGCAGAAGAGGTGGAGGCAGCAAGGTGGGCACTGGGGAGGGTTTATGCCCTCTCAGCGCTGTGCAGTTCAGTGC